CCACCGTCTTAATGTATTGTAATCAATAGAAAATATTTAACCTTGTGACACAATAGTTAAAAGACATTAAAATTTTAACGAATAAAAAATTGTAAGGAAGTAATTGGCAACAGAGGAGTCATAATAAACCTTAAATGATGATATATAGGTTATATAAAAGACCAAACCATATTTTTTGAATCCTCCCCCCCCCCCCCCAACCCCAACCAAAACTACAAACAAACAATTACTAAGGAAAAACATATATCAAAAGCATTATAAATAGAAACTATCATATGCATTAAAGTATATGCTAAAGAAATGGTCACGTAGACAGAAAAGAAAACAAGCCAGTATGCCCTATGAAGGTATGCACACAAGTCCTCTCTTTCCATAAAATTGTGTCATTAGAACTTGCACTACCAATGACAATTCACATAGGTCATTTCTATCCAAAACATAGTTTGATAACTATGAAAAATCCAAACCAAAGAACATAAGTTGGTCGTTGAGATCATAGAAAAGATACTTAAGAATTTAAAGGTTAAAGACAAAAAAGAGAAGAAAAAACCTAACACAATCATACCTCACATCAAACAAAATAATGTTCACCAGTAAAAAGCTCATCTAAAGGTAACTTCATCACTACTTAGATTGCTGCCTTGTAAGACTCCCAAAGTTCAACAAATTAGTGTCTTCTGAATTGTTTTAATGTACTGCAATCAACAGAATATATCTAACCTCGTGACACAGTAGTTAAACAGTATGAAAATTTTAAGGAACAAAAAGCTGTCAGGAAGTAATTGGCAACAGAGGAGCCACATACCTTAAATTATGACAAGTCGACCAATTATAGCAAAGACCAAACCATATTTCTATCCCCTCCCTTCCTCCCCTCCCCACAAACAATTAGTAAGGAAGAATATAAATTGTAAGTATTTTAAATAGAAACTATCTTACGCAATAAAATATATGTAAAGAAAATAGTCACGTAAACAAGCAAGAAAACGAACCCGTACGACCTACGAAGGTATGCACACATGTCCTCTATTTCCAAAGCTTTAAAATTGTATCACTAGAACTTGCATTATCACTGACAAAAAAAGAGAAGAGAAGTAAGAAAGAAGTTTACACAATCATACCTCAAATCAAAAGCAAAAATAATGTTCACCCATAGAAAACTCGCCTAAGAGGAACTTCATAATTGCTTAGATTGTTGCCTTGTAAGTCTCTCCCAAAGTTCAACAAGTTGGCATCTCTTCCATTGCCTTAATGTACTGCAATAAATAGGGAATATCTAAACTCGTTACACAATAGTAAAATGGCATAAAAATTTTAAAGAACAAAAAATTGTAAGGAATGAATTGACAACATAGGAGTCACATACCTTAAATGATGAACAATAGACCAATTACGGGAAAGACCAAATGATATTTCTATCGCCCCCCACAAACAATTACTAAGGAAAAATAAAAATCATTACATTTTAAATAGAAACTACCGTATGCACTAAAATATATGCAAAAGAAAGCCACGTAGACATGCAAGAAAACAAACTTGAATTCCCTATGAATGTATGCAATCGTCCTCCCCTTCCAAAGTTCATTAGAACTTGCATTATCATTAACAACAATTCATATCAGTCATTCCTATCCAAAGTATAGTTTGACAAGTGTAAAACAAGAGAATGAAAAAACTTACACAATCATACCTTAAATTAAGCAACATCATGTTCACCTGCAAAAAGCTTGCCTAAAGATAACTTCATAACTGGTAGATTATTGCTTTGTAAGCCTCCCAAAGAGTCAAAAACTTTAAAATAGTCACATAATAACAAAGATACACATAAGGAGGCACATACACAAACACTTCGATAACAAAAAAAAATAGAGTAATAACCACACACACAAACACGTTATACACATCAAAACACAAAAACACTCGAGATAAGAAAGATATCATACACACCAACAACCACACGCAATAAACATAAAAACTTATACACCAAAAATAACTGATAAAAATAAATACACATTGTGCACATAAAAACGCACACAATAACACATTGATTAAAAGAATACACTTACACTAATGAAAACACACCGTCCTCTTAATACACACACTAATACACCAAAAAAATACACACTAACACACCAAAGACGCACACACACGTACATACACTATTACACAAATACACGCATATTCGCACACCACCACTGAAACAAACACACATAAACAAACTAATAAATACACACCCACGCACGTTGTGTTAACAAACACTTATACACCAAAATATACACATAATACATCAAAAAACATAGACACCAACATACCAAAACACACTATTACACAACACAAACACAAACACAACATACACCCACACACTAATACACCATCTAAAATCACACAAAAATGCATACATTCCATCCAAAGTATTGTTAACACAAGCTAATCCACCAAAAACACAGACACTAATATACAATAAACACACGTTATTACACGAACGCAAATGCACACAGACACTAATACACTAAAAAACACACATTAATAAAAAAATTCATTAATATACAAAAAAATATATCATAAAACTATGAAAAATACCGGGGAACATTAAGAATAACATATCATAAAATAATAAAATTAATGTTTTCCGGTATTTTTCATAGTTTTATGATATTTTTTTTGGTATAAGGAAAAGAGTCAGACAAAAGGGCTGATCCGGAACCAAAAGCAAAGGTCGACGCAATAGATCAAAAAAAGGGGTAGTATAAGAAGATCAAAAAGAAAGAAGGTTGCAGGGATGCCGCAAAAGAAAAGGAAAATCCACAATCAGTTGCTGAACTGAGACTTTTTCCTTTCTCAAAAGAAGCCAAAGCAGCAGAAGAGAATCCTTCTCTGTTTCACCTAAACCAAAACACACACACAACCCAGCTAATCAGCATATGTATGCACACCCACACACCATGTTAATACACACTAATATACCCTCAAAAAAAACCCAAAACATATGCTCCGTCCACACACACTAATACACCAAAGAAACACACTCATACACTAATACACCTAAGAAACATAGACACACTTATATTTTGCCTAACGGTGCCAAGGCTTGTGGGCACAAGGCTAGCCAGACCCTTGGTGCCCCTCAACTATCTCCTCCCCTTATATATGTTTTATGGAGGTTTTTCAAAACGACTTTAGCGGACATCTTTTGAACTGAAGAAACATAACAAGAGCCTAGGACATAGCGTCTGGACTTTTGTCGAACGCCTTAGCTACATCGCGTTACTTTGAATTTATGAGCTGTCGTGATGCAAGATGCCACCAAGACATGTTCATTTTTGCATCCAAGTCAATTAGGGTCTGAAAACTAGTGTGTTCTTTTTTCATAACTTACAAATTTAAAGATCATCTAAAATACGATAATTACTACCAGTGAAAACTTTCAAACAACCACCACAATTGTTAAGAAAACACATTATTAATATTTAAAAATAAAAAATAGAACATCTACTCAAAGATATTCAAAAGGAATAAAAATGTAAACATGCAAGGAGCCGACCTGTATGCTCTTCAAAAGTATGTGCAGAGTTGTGTCACTTAAACCTGGATTACCATAAACAAAACCGCCATTGTTCATTCGTATCCAAAGCAATATGGTGTAGGATCTTCAAGTTTTAACATCAGTGCCTTTGTAGTTCGATAACTGCAAGAAATCTTAAGCAAAGGATGAAGATCGAGGATGATAATTAAGAATAATTAAGAACTTCACGAGAAGAGGAGAAAAGAAAACGCTAAAAAAATCATACCGCAAAATCAATACTACACAATACCCAAAAAAAACCAACCTCTTGGATTGCCGCTTTATGAGCCTCCCAAATTTTAATAGGTTGGTTTTTCCTCCATCTTTAAGGTACTGCATTCAATAAGCAATATTACACATTGAATCATAGCACAAAAATTTAAGAAATAAAATACTATAAGCAAGTAATTGACACAAAAATTCAAGTAATTGTCACATTGAGTTATGGCACAAAAAATGTAAGACATAAAATACTGTAAAGAGGTAATTGGCAGCAGAATAGTTTTATGCCTTGAATAATGACTAGTAGAAAAACTAAAGCACAAACATATAGACAAAAGAGACTCATAAAATAACACTTTCAGATTGAAGACCAATTGCACCCATGCTCCCCACACTATTCAGATTATGGGAAATTGACTTACCACATATAGAGTTTTTTGTATTGGAGGTGCTAACCCAAAGAGAGTGACATAGAACCACAAATTGCGAAATAGCTTCAAAAGTGCAGGTTCCACATATACAGTAGGATCAAAATCTGAACATATTTCAGCCACAGCAAGAAGTAGAGGTCCTAGAAAATCTGCCCCAAGTCTCTGCCTGTCTGAAAAAATATATATATTACAATGAAAGTTTATCCAAAAAGTGCAACATATTGCAGAATCATGTTACCAAGATACGCCCCAGCTGTAGGAGGCAAACAAATAATGTACCCGAGCACAGTACTTATCACAAGGGGTTTGAAGCGAATGAGCAAGACATGCACCACATCAGGTGAGAGCAATTTAGGAAATCCCAACAAGCAATGAGCTGAAGAGCTCATCACAAATTCTCAACTTTTGCAAGACACAGAATAAACATGCTTCAACAGCTTCTATCAACAATGCCAAAGTTCCATGCAACAACCTCTTCGATGACTTCCCATTCAAATCAACAGATGAAAGACTCTTGATTTGTAACCCCGCTGCAGCTTGGTAAACCGACAGCTCTGTATTGATTCTAACTTTCAGTAACTGCCCCTGTTCCGTCCAGTCACGCTTCCATATCTGCCAACAAACCCAAACATTTTAACCAGATTTTTTCATTCATCTCTATAGTTATTTCATCAAGACATCAATAAAATTCGAAACCAAAAGGATGGATACCCATGAATTTTACCTTTAGGAAAGCCAACATGGATTGGAGTTGCTCCTTTGCGAATTGCGATGGCCCTCATTTGTTACAAAAGCTTAAGATCAATCTGGACTTTATCCAATATGTGCCCAATCAGCTTGAAAGCAATCTCCTGTTGTTGAAGGCTCTCCACAGGCTCTTCCTCAAAAGAGGCTACCACTCGCTTGTACGTTGCGGAACCGCCTCGTCCTTCATCATTGAACCCAACATCAGCCCCAAATATATACACATTGCTCTTCCACGCAAGGCTGCCCCCTTTCATCACCAATCCTTTCGACCACAATGCACTGGTCGCCTCATCTGTAACCCTTGAAGGGTCACCGCTAGAAGAACCAGAGGCATTGCTGACCTCGTTTCCTGGACTGTTTCTCTCATTTGATTGATAATGGTTTGCACTGAGTGGCGAACACTGAGGCGATGACGCTTCAGGTGTTATCAAAACTAGCTCCCTCGGTGAACTAGGAACCGAAATTTCAAATCGATCTTGAAGAGTGGAAACTAATCTTTTTGCATTAGAAAGAAGAATTGGATGAAAATTCTGCGACAGAGAAACCCCCAAATCTCCATCGGCATTGTTAATCGCCGACATCACAATCTCTCCCGTATACTCCGCAACGGCCATGGCAAAATCCGAGGACAACTCACTGGCTTCATTCACATAACTCAGGAAATCAAAAGATTGAATCGCTTCCAAACGACTGTGGCAAAAAAGATTGGGCAATAGAATACGGAATCGACCCAAAAAAGACGATGACGCTTCAGGAGTTGTCGAAACTAGCTCCTCGGTGAACTAGGAACCGAAATTTCAAATCCATCTAGAACAGTGGACACTAATTTGTTTGCATCGGAAGGAAGAATTGGGGGAAAATTCTGCGACAGAGCATTCAAGAAAACCTTGAAACCCCCAAATCTCCACTGACATTGTTAACCGCCGACATCACAATCTCTCCCGTATACTCCGCAACGGCCAATGGCAAAATCCGAGGACAACTCACTGGCTTTATTCATGTAACTCAAGAAATCGTACGAAGCAATTGAATCGCTTACAAACGACTGTCGCCAAAAAGATTTGGCAAAAGAATACGGAATCGACCTAAAAAACTCTAGGACTGCCGGTTAGGGCCTCGTGTCGTCGAAATTGGGGCATTTAGAAAGAAATCTAGCGGTGGCGAGTACAGAGTCAATTGGTGGACATCGTCCACAAATCCAAGCCAATTTATCAGCAAATTGCGAAGGATTTTGTGCGATCAGATCGCAGAGTTCGATCATCGACTCCATTGCTTTACAATGCTGAATATTTTCGGAGAGAGGAGAGAGAAATCATCTGGTGGTGGAATTTAGGGTTTACGGAGATAGATCGTAGGTGGAGGTTCGTAAATTGGGACTCAGGAGGTCGATGTCGTCTGCTGAGTTTCTGATTTTATATATATATGTCGTTGGTTGTGTCTCTCTGACGAGATCATTGGTTTTAAATCTCTGATTTTGTTTCCTTTTTCTTTTTTGTTACCGTTGCTCCAAATTTGGAAACCAAGCTATATACTTTCTTTCCCTCCAAGTTTTCTCAATTGACCGTTTGATTCAATTTTTGTTACTTGACATCAATGAATTAGGTCACTAATTAAGTCTCTAAATTAGATATTTATAATATTATTATGTATTTTTTATTAATAGATTTTTAATATATTTTTATTTATTTAATGATGCAAGAGTTCTCATAGAGTTTCTATAATTATGATTAGTTGTTAGGTGAAATAAATTTTTAATTGAACGGTTGTGATTATTTACATTCTGAAATTAAGTTTAAATAATCTTTTTTCTTATTTTAGGCCTCTATGCTTTGAATCGAGCCCTGATTTAATGTTTTACTATTTACAAATATGCTTAATACAAATTTGGGATAATTTCTTTTAATGAGTTTTATTTATTTTTAATAATTGATTTGGTATAAATAGTTTTTAAACCACCAAAAAAAAAAACAATTGTAGTTAGAAGGGTCGTGAGTTTTTCATTAAATTCATTCTCCTCGAAATGTTAATCTAAATCTAATCACTTTCAAACTTATTTCTCAGACTAATTTATTTTTTGAAAACGTTGCTTTAAATGATGAGATACAAAATGAGTTTAAACACTCGCATTTCTTCTTCCACTTTTCTTTTCTACAACCAGCCCATTATATCTAACCATCGTCGGATGCCTCTTCATATCTCTTTCATTTACCTTAATTCACTGTCAATATCCACCAGCAACCACTTATACTTTTTCTTTTCTTCCTTTTCATCTTCTCTAACCGGTCGTCGCCCATTATCACCTCTATTTTGATTTTTCAAATGAAGTGAGTTGGACTCAAATCAGTCTTCGATTTTTCTGTTTTGATTTTATGTGAATTAGTGTTGGGTACTAGTCAGTGTTGGTGATGGCAGTGTGTTATTGGTGATGGGTGATTTGGGTTTTGGCATGTTTGGTGAGGAAAAGAAGAAAGATTAAAGAGTGGTAATGGAGTAACGGCGATGGAGGCGCAGTTACAATGTAGAGAGGTCTTTGGCAATGACACCAAAGGTGGTGTTCCGATTTCAATTTCATTTTGATGTCAAAATTTAAATTGAAAATTTGTCTTCAAATTCTGATTCACAACAGCATCGCACTCATGCCACAACCACTTATACTTTTTCTTTTCTTCCTTTTCATCTTCTCCAACCGGTCGTCGCCCATTACCACCTCTATTTTGATTTTTCAAATGAAGTGAGTTGGACTCAAATCAGTCTTCGATTTTTCTGTTTTGATTTTATGTGAATTAGTGTTGGGTACTAGTCAGTGTTGGTGATGGTAGTGTGTTGTTGGTGATGGGTGATTTGGGTTTTGGCATGTTTGGTGAGGAATAGAAGAAAGATTAATTAGTGTTGGGTACTAGTCAGTGTTGGTGATGGCAGTGTGTTATTGGTGATGGGTGATTTGGGTTTTGGCATGTCTGGTGAGGAATAGAAGAAAGATTAAAGAGTGGTAATGGAGTAACGGCGATGGAGGCGCAGTTACAATGTAGAGAGGTCTTTGGCAATGACACCAAAGGTGGTGTTCCGATTTCAATTTCATTTTGATGTCAAAATTTAAATTGAAAATTTGTCTTCAAATTCTGATTCACAATAGCATCGCACTCATGCCACAACCACTTATACTTTTTCTTTTCTTCCTTTTCATCTTCTCCAACCGGTCGTCGCCCATTACCATCTCTATTTTGATTTTTCAAATGAAGTGAGTTGGACTCAAATCAGTCTTCGATTTTTCTGTTTTGATTTTATGTGAATTAGTGTTGGGTACTAGTCAGTGTTGGTGATGGAAGTGTGTTGTTGGTGATGGGTGATTTGGGTTTTGGCATGTTTGGTGAGGAATAGAAGAAAGATTAAAGAGTGGTAATGGAGTAACGGCGATGGAGGCGCAGTTACAATGTAGAGAGGTCTTTGGCAATGACACCAAAGGTGGTGTTCTGATTTCAATTTCATTTTGATGTCAAAATTTAAATTGAAAATTTGTCTTCAAATTCTGATTCACAACAGCATCGCACTCATGCCACAACATTGAACTGGTGCAGACTTGCTGAAGAAGAAGATAGAGTAAAAATGGTTGAGTGCGTTGCTTTTGTGTACCGACAAATGGACACCCCTACAACTATCTCTTCGAAACCCAAGCTTGCATTTTATGAGGATTCCAAGAAGCCAACTATCTAAATTGCAACATAGCAGTAGTAAAATGACATTTTTCAGTCACTTTATCTACCACACAGTGTACGCAAAAAAAAATGCTCTCTTGGAGGCTTGAAACGATAGTAGCTCCTGTTGTACAATTGAAGAACATATGCTGAAAAAGGTTGGTATTTTCCATGCAACATATTAGTCTGCGAGTAATACCTAGTCATGATATGCATACGGTTGCTTGATAACCAATTATTGTAATTGTTCAAGTTTATTGTCTCATTAGATTTATTATTTTTCAGAAGTTCGTTAAGAAGGAAAATGGCTAGATTGGAATGAAGGGCATTTATCTTTTTGAAGTGTATCATTGGAGCCAGAAATATTTTCTATTCTTGTGGGTTGGAAGGCATTTACATTCCAGGAAGAAGGTGGAGGAAGAAAATTGAAATCATTAAACGTGTGGAAATCAATTCTTTTTATGTCGACTGTAATGCAGATGACCTTATTTGTGCCCAAATAAAGGTGTAGGTGTCATGTGTTGCTTAGATATTTTGAAAATAAATCTTGACAATCGTATTGAGGCTAGACCACGAATGATTTATCGCTCATGAATACTTTAGTCCCAACATAGATGGCTTGCCTATCACCAAGGAAGATAGTCGAGGTGTGTGAAATTTGGACCAAACACTCTGACCATTTGAACAAAACAAATAAAGCCTTATATTGAAGCTGGAAATGACCATAATTTTCCAAAGATAATCTTTAGGTAGGTCCTCTAATGAGCCCAAATCTAACTGAGTTAGGCCCAATAAATGAAGTTAACCCAAATCAACTAAAAGACAGATCGAGCTCAGTTCGTGAATTCAACCCAACCCAAGGTGCGAAGAGTCCAAGAAGAATTAGAGCACGTGGAGAGAAATCATCGGGATACACACCCTCGAGGATCAAGGCTACCTTAATTGCACTTATCTTTTATAGCTATCCTTTCCGAAGACCTAGTACCTTCACCTTCACGTTACCGCCTCAACCAAGTTTCTGTGCCTATAAATTGTAAGTCCTCTCTACATGAGAGGACACAGTGATCTCACCACACCTCTTTACACACTTTCTCTCTCCTAGCTATTGTACCACTCCTAGAGCTAGCCTTGTCTCTCCCTCTCTCTGACTTTATTTCATCAATAAAGGTTCACCAGCCACTGTAGCCGTTTCTCATAGTGGAATAAGTCATTCGGACCGAACCACTATATATCTGTGTGTTGACCCAATATTATTTTTTTGCCATTGATTACTTTATTAATTGTCTATTAATTATACCTTATCACATACTCGACTGTTGATTTTGCACGAGACAGTTTTGTGCATCAACAATTTGGCGCCATTTGTGGGAATCGATTAAGTTTTCTACTACCTTACTACTTCATGGTAATCACGACCAGGTCGATAAGTCAACAACCGGGAAACAACAACTCGGCCCCCCAGAAGGGGGCTCCGCCTCCCCTCGCACCCTCGAAACCATCTACTACAACGACTCTCATCGTCGGACAATAACTTCTACAGACTATGCTGCTGCTGGTAAATCAGAATCAACAAATTATTTAGTTGATGTTCGCCAAGGGAGGCATCGCCCCTCAGCCCCGTAGGAGGAACACCACTCCCTCCAACGGGAAAAGCACAACAACCTATCCATTCTGGGCGCCAAGCAACCCCCCACCATGGGTCCCCTCTCCCAGTAGTCCCTCCTCAGTGCGAAGGAAGCTCACATGTTCCCCCTCCTTATGTACCTGTGCAAGAGGATGAAGGAGAAAACAGTATGCCGATCATGGAAGCCATTACAACAACCCGACAGAGGATGTCTCCAACCAATGGGACGAGAAAATTAGAGAGGTGCAAAACTAACTCCGTGACACCCTCAACGTCATCAAGGCACAAGCCTCCAAAATGGCGAATTACCTGGTAAGGTGTACTGATACCCCGTTTGTTACAGACATCGTCAATTACCTCCTACCCTTGAAGTTTAAGATGCCTGCCAACGAGATCTTCGACAGTACTAAGGATCCCCTGGATCATCTTGACACCTATAAGTCTTTCATTCAACTCCACAATGTGCCTGATGAGATTATGTGTAGAGCCTTCTCCACCACTTTGAAAGGGTTTGCTCGACAATAGTTCGCGAAGATCAAACCCTCTTCTATCCTTCCTTCGCGGAGCTGAGTAAATCTTTCGTCTCCTACTTTATTGGAGAACGCCGACATCAAAAGCTTGTTACCCACCTACATACCATCAAACAGGACTGTGATGAAAGCCTTAGGAGCTACCTCACTCATTTCAATGAGGAAGCTCTCCAGATCGAGGAGCCAGAAGACAAGGTAGCTCTGACCACCTTTATTGCTGGTATGTGTTCTTTTAGCTTCATGTTCTCCGTAATCAAGAAGCCGCCCTCCAGCATGCCCGAGCTGCTATCAGGGGCATAGAAGTACATAAATGCTAAGGATGTCACCAAAGTCCATCGAGATGAGTCTTCTCGAAGAAGAGAGAAAATGAAGGACACCTATAAAGACAAGGGGGAGACAGAGAGCAAGAGACAGAGAACCGAGA